CACATGGAGCTTAAATTTCATATGGCCATCATGGCATCTTTTCCTTCCTGGTACTGGATTAAATTACAGGTGCATCCTGGGAAAGTGGACATATTGGATTGACAGGTAAGGGGGTGGAGTTATAATGCAGGGCTAGATGCAGAAAATGGGATTCTGTCTCACCTATTCCTACCTAATATTCCAGCCTAGTTCCCTTATATCAATAGTTGTGGGGGAGGCCGCTACCTAGACTCATTTTAGGTTTTGCTTCCGTTGAGTAAGAATTCAAGGAGACAGAGATAAAGGTTAGCAGAAAAGCAGTGTTTGTTCAAAGGCAATGCACTCACCCCAGAGGAAGTACTGGCAACCTCATGGGAGAGTGCTGTAATTAATGAAGTTCAGGGTTGTCCTTTTACATGATAAGAGATAGCTACTGGGGCACTTCCATGCCCCTTTATTGGAAACCTCAGAAGTGTCATGGAGTCTGGTACACGATGGTAATGGAGTTCAGGTGCATGGTGGGAGTGGGTGTGTCAAACCTGCAGCCATGTTGGATTGTTCTAGTCTGTGCAACCCCAGTGGCTGAGGATACACAGAAGGGGGTGGAATTTTGGCAGTGCCTGTGGAGCTCTTGCACAGGTGCTGGCAGTCCTCAGTTGTTCGCTACCACTCCACCTACATCAACACACTGTATGTAGCCCCTGTAACTATACAATTAATACATTTTGCTTGATTTTTTCCCCTATTGCTTTGCATGTTGCCAGTTCATTTCATAAATATAATGATTGAAACATCAGAGGGGTAAGAGAACATTTAAAAATGTCCTACCCAGGGGCCCAGCATTGTAGCACAATGAGTTAAGCCACTGCTTGCATCCCCTATCAGAGTGCCTGTTCAAGTTCCAGCTACCCTGCTTCCAATAGGGCATTCCACTAATGCATCTGGGAGGGATAGAAGAGAGGTCAAGTACTTGGGCCCCTGCCACCCATGTAGGAGACCAGGATGGTGTTTTTTTGCCCCTTGGCTTTGGCCTGGCCCAGATCTGGCTGTTGTAGCCATTGGGGAGAGCACCAGTGGATGGAAGCTCTCTCTCTATCTCTCTTTCTCTGTTGCTCTACCTTTCAAGTAAATAAATCTTTTAAAAAAATTCTCTTACCCAGAATGGAAGATCTTTCTCTTTATCTCTCTCTCTCTCCCTCTCTCTCTCTCCCTCTCTGTAACTGTACCTCTAAAATAAATAATTTTAAAAAAGTAAGGAAAAGAAAAGAAAAATTCCATTACCCAACAGATCAGAGGAAATACCATAGGATAGGTGGCCGTGTTTGCCCTGGAACTTAAAATAGAGAGAGGTTTCAGGTGTGTCACTGTCATGGACAGAAGGACGTTTGGGGCAGGCGGAGAAGAGGAAAGGATGAAAAGGGATGAGCAAATGCCTGGTGGTGGGAAGGCCCTGGCTGCAAATAAAGAAATTAAGAAGCTTGCTTGGTAGAGCCTGTGGTCTCCTCTCCTCTTTCAGTCTGTACTTTCTTTTTCTTCTTTTGTTGACTTGTTCTTCTTCTTTTTGATGTTGTCTTCTTTTATGGGAGGAGAATGTGGGTGCAAGGGCAAATGGAGTTCTGAGGAATGCCAGAAAAGCATGCTAGGCCTGGATTTCCCAAGCTCTAACATGGCCCTACCCCTCAGATCACTTGGGAGGATGAGAAATGATGGGAAAAAGAAACAAAATGACCCCAGAATAAAGGCTGTTTACTTAATCCCTTTAACCGGATTCTCCTGCTTCTCTTTTCATGTTCCAAGAACCAGCAGGAGAAAGCAGAAGGGAGACAGATTTTAGAGAATGTTAGTTTGTCCTTTGTCTTTCAAAGATCAGAAACCATGTCTGCCACTACCAGCTTCAGTGAACAATTGATTCACAAAACTTCACCAATGTGGCTTGTACCAGAGGACTACAAAAAGTTAAAAAAAAAAAAAAAAGGAATTAAAAGACAAATTTGTTTTGATACAAAACAATTTTGACATCCATAATTCATAATACCTTTTTAAAATATTTTTTATTTACTTGAAAGGCAAAGTTAGAAAGAGAGAGAGAGAGCTAGAGAGAGATCTTCCATCCACTGGTTTACTCCCCAAATGGCTACAATGGCCGGAGTTGGGCTTGTCCGAAGCCAATAGTGAAGAGCTTACTCCAGGTCTCCCACATGGATGCAGGGGCCCAAACACTTGGGCCGTCCTCTGCTGCTTTCCCAGGCACACTAGCAGGGAGCTGCATTGGAAGTGGAGCAGCTAGGACTCCAAATGCTAGGCCACAGTGCCAGGCCCCATAATACACATTTTCATGAGCTTTGGGAGGACTCTTCATATATATGGATATCAAATGTTTTACACCAAAATAAACCAATTTTTTAATTTCATTTTCCACAAACACTTTGAAATATGCTCATACTCAAATTCTGCACTTTCCATTGGCTACACAGCAGCTATACTGCCCAACATGCTGTACAGTTTACCCAGAGTAGAGTAGGGGCCCTTCCTCCACATAGGATGGCCCTATGCAGGTAAAGATACATGGACTCTCCTGCTGCATTATTTGCTTTTGGTTTTTGTTTTTTCATTTCCCGTACAAGCCCCATTGCCTTGGAAAATCCGAACTCAATGCATTCCCACTAGTTTCTCTACATGACGCCATAAGGCTCAGCCACGGACACTCAGTACAGCATGTTGAGTGAATGAATGTTTGCAAGAAGTGTCTGGATTGAGGAATTATCATAATTATCACTCTAAATGTACTGTAATTAACATTTATTTTCTCTCTTTCAGCCTCTAGTAAGCCCTGACCCTATTTCAGGGGGTTAAACAATACCTTGATCATTTTTATATTTCAGTCCACTAGAAGAGCATACAAGGTCCCTAATAGGCCCTTAAGATTTACTTGCTTGAATGACTGAATGAATAGCTACATCACAGAATAAACAATCTTGTCATCTAAGCATGATTTAGGGAATGATAGGAGATAATGAGGTCCCATCATTGAGGTCATGTTGGGAAGGGTCTTGAATAAAAGACTAAGGAGTTGGGTTTTATTATTTATTCTTTTTGCTATAGAGAATGACTGAAGCATTTTAAGCAATCAGGGAGTGATTTAGTGGTCAAGGCTGTTTTAGAAAGATCATTCTGATGGTTGTATAGAAGATCGATTGCTGTGGTGATAAATCTGATGTATGCCTAGGCTTTTGTTGTTTTCGAAAAGTGACAATGGAAACTTCAATGAACAAAGGGCGTTGAGTTCAAACACAGGTGCAGCCGCCTTAATTCTACTGTTTACAAGTGGAAATAAATATACTTTGCTCACCTGACATGGTCCGAGGGTGTTGCATAGCTTTAGAAGACAGCATGTCCTCATGAGACTGCTACAAGCTAATGTGCTCAATTATTTATCATTTCAGTGCAGTACAAATCACAAGGAACTCCCAGAATCTTGATGGCAAACAAGACTACCTTCAAACTAAGAAAGAGAAATGCTCCCTTGTCTGTGTTTTAACATCCCTCTGGGAAAGAAAAGCCTTTGATCCCAGTGGCTCTTTATAGTGCTAGAAATCAAAATGAATAATTTCGTAGATGTGCTAAGATTTGAAAAGTTAAACTTGTAGAAGCAGATTGTTTTGTTTCTCTCAGCAGGCACCTGAGGTCACACCCTACTGTAAGGGTTTGGCTAGCTACTGAGGATTTTCTTAAACAGAGCTAGCTGAAATGTATTGGGCTGTAGCTAAGGATAACTCAGGTACTTCTATGTGTGCTTTTTGCACCTCTAAAACCACCCAAACACCTCTTTGTTAATGCATCATCATCAATATTGATTACTCAGTTTGATCTGTTATACATAGCTGTAAATGTTTTTACAGCCCCTTTTTTCAAACAGTGGTGTCTGTTTCCTCTGCTCTTGATCTAAACTGGCTTTGTGACTTGCTTGGACCAAAAAGAAGCAGCAGACCTGATTCCGTGTGGTTTTTAAGTCTCTGCTCAAAGAGGCCTTGGAGCTTTTACTTCACTCTCTTGGAACATGAGCCTTGAAAGAAGCATAAGCAGTCTCCTTGATGGCGAGGGGTCATCCCGAAAGAGTGAGAGACAATGTGATGATGGAGCTGCAGCTGTCCTGGACATGCTAGCTGTGGCCTAAGAGACATGAGGCCATCAAAGACTGGCCAGCCTCACCATCCAAAGAGAGCCCTGCCTCAAATGCCATCCTACAGAGCTATGAGCAAATAAGTGGTTAATCTCGTCAGCCATGACATTCTGGGGCATCATAGTGGACAGAATCTTAAAGATGCCCCCATAGCCCTAAAACTCTCATTCCTGAGTTATTTAATCAAATACCAACATAAGCACTGCTGTGAAGGTATTGTTCAACTCTAATTAAAGCCTCAAGCCAGTTGACCTGATTTCTGTGATCATGCTGACCGCAGAAAGGAGAGTCACAGAGATTCAGTGAATGAGAAGGATTTGATGTACCTTTGCTGACTTAAATGAACACGGGCGGCCTCTAAAAGGTAAGAGCAGCACTAGCTGATGGCCAGCAAGAGAACTGGGACTTCAGTCCTACAACCACAAGAAACTGCATTTCGGCAGCAGCCTAAGACAGTTGGAAGCAGGTTCTTTTCCCAGAACCTCTCCATCAAAGCATAGTCCCACCAGCACCATGATTACCATCTCTTGAGATCCCGAGCCAAGAACTTATTAGTCTAAGCAGCCCACATTTCTGACCTACAGAACTGTCAGCTAAGTCTCTGAGTGTGTGATAAAAGTGCTATGCAGCAATATAAAACTAATAAGACAGTTCATTTCATAGCAGTTAGCTGACCAATACACACACTGATTTTTACAATACATAGGAAAGATATAACATAGAGCAAGGGATTTCAGCTCTAGCTGCACTTCAGAATCTAGTAGAGAGCACTTAAAAACTATGAATGCCTGGGTCTATCCTAGAAATACTGATGTAATTGATTTAATTGTTCTGGATGTGGTCCAAGCATTGATAGTTTTAAAAGTTCCCCAGGTGATTCTAATATCTAGCCAGGATTGAAAACAACTATAAATATAAAACAAATGATATGTAAGTAGACATATGAGAGACAGGGAGATTTCTACCCCATTGTGAGATGCACCCATTGTGAGATGAGCACCATAAACATGCTGGGACTCTATCAGTTGGAGTACTTTTAGCCAGAAGACACACACATCTGGTCGACCATGGTACAAGAACCGTAATGTCTTCTTTAATAGGCAGCTCAGACATGGGGTCTTCAAAGTGGGTTAGTTCAGCAGCTTAACAGAGCATAAGGGATTTGAGGGCTTTTCATCCCTTTCCTTCATGATCCCTTTCCTTCCATCCCTGGAATAGACTAATTTAAAACCAGGACACCTTGTCCAGTCCCATGATGAGTAGACTTTTTTTCAACAATGGGATACTTCTTTTTATAGTGGCTCTTTCATATCACAGTTTCATTATCAGAGAGTAAGATCTTCCTATTAAATTGTCTTGGTTATTGACACTGCTGGTGAAGTTAGAGCAGTGGGGACGTGGGAACAAAAACATAACCCATAGCTCCTCCCTTAAAGGCCAGTTCCATCTTGGCTGACTGTACTGATGAAGATGATCTCCAGACATCTTTAAATCTCTTTAAGGTAATTCACTGCTGCAAGGCAAGGATGCACAGTCACTTCTTCCAAGGGAGGACTTGTTAGATTACAAAAGTGCATTTTTTAAGAAGTGGGAGGAGGGGAGGAACCCCAGGGATGCTGGCAGAGGGGTGTGGTTTTTCTGACATCCATAACCGGCACCTGTCAACAGAGCTAAGGATTCTGCTCTGCTAATCATTTTGCATTTGCATAAGTTGTCATTACCATAATCATCTCATTGTCCCCAAAGCTACCTGCTGTTTATCTGCTGCCTTGCTTTCTGTTATTCTTGAATCCCAGGAAGAGAAGACAAAGGAGAAAATGGGGCTTCACAGCTGTCCCAGTCCTTGGCTTTTGAGACAGGGAGAAGGTGAGGCTGACAAGACTTCTCCAGTGTTCATCCCAGCAGGACTCTTCCCCTCACTCTAGGCCCGCCCAGGCCACCCTGTCTGGGTTGTAATTCTCTCCTGGGGAAGGCCCTGCTCTGTGTTTAGGTATTTTCACAATTTCCATCGTTATGTTTTTGAACTTTTTATCTCTTTATTTTATTTCTTTGAAAGAAAGGGCAGGGGGAGGAAGGAAAGAGAGAGAAAGAGAGAAAGAGAGAAAGAGAGAAAGAGAAAGAGAGAGAGAGAGAGAGAATATGAATGAATCCACTGGCTCATTCCCCAAATGCCTGAAACAGCAGGGCAGGGCTAGGGGCCTAGAACTGCATCTGAGTAGCCCGCAGGGGTGGCAGGGAGACATCACCTGCTACTTCTCATGGGTGTGCATTAGCAGGAAACTGGGATGAGAAACAGAGCTAGGTCTCAAACCCAGGCACTTTGATACGGGATGTGGTTGTTTCAAGTAGCTGTTTCCATTGCTTTTCTTCTTTTTAAAAAAGTTACTTATTTGAAAGGCAGAGTAACAGAGACAGACAAATAGATCTTCCATCTGCTAGCTCATTGCCCAAAAGCCTGCAACAGCTGTGTCCGGGTCAGGCAGAATCCAGGAGCCAGGAACTCTATCCAGGTCTCCCAAATGACCGACAGGAACCCAGGCACTTGACTCATCATCTGCTGACTTCCAGGTGCATTAACAGGGAACTGGATTGAAAGTACTGCGCAGGTGGGACTCGAACCAGGCCCTCTGATATGATATGAGATGTTGGCACCCCAAGTAGCAGCTTATCTGCTGTACCACAAAATCCGCCACTCAAGTGGCTTCGGAAATGCTGTGCCAAATGCCTGCTTTGACAGTTGCTGTATTTCATGAATTTGGTCCCAGCATCTCCAGCTGTAAAAGCAGCACCTGTTGAGACACCTTAGAAAGCAAAGGACATCATCAAGATTGATGGTACTCACTGGCATCCCGCTTGTAAAGCAAACCTTTTGGGAATTTGTTTTGGGTGAATAGATACTTCATTGTTTCTTTAAACCAAATAAGTGAGCAGTCAGAAGTGTATCAGGGTTTTTTCTTTTTTTAAAAAACAGAATTTAAAATTTTAAAGACAGAATTAAAAAACTATAGAGGGCCTGGCACTGTGGTGCAGCAGGTAAAAGCCCTGTCCTGAAGCACTGGCATCCTATATGGGTGCTAGGATGGAAGACCTATCTCTTTCTCTCTCTCTCTCTCTCTGTGCTCTCTATAGCTCTTTCAAATAAATAAATCTTTAAAAAATAAAATTTTAGAGACTTTTCAAAAACATGTTTGAATAAAGCATGTTTCAAAATGCTTTAATGATTATAACAGATTTTTAATATTTTTGCATATTTCTTTCTAAATTCCCATATGTGTGCATATACTTAAAATAATTTGAATTCTATTACATTTTTCAGATTTAGTATTTGACTACTTTCATTCACTTGTAATAAATATTTATGTAAACTAAACACCTATCATGAATTTAACCATACCCACCTCTGTGAAGGTAGATTCCACAGGAATTGGAAGTAATGTTAGTAAGTCATGGAAATGGCATGAAGTTATTCAAGGGTCACATTTAAGTTGGGCAGCATTAAAAGGCTATCATTAAGTCAGACTGGATCTTAAATTTTCATCTCAACTTTGGAAATCACCCCACATATTGATCAACAAAAATTCAGATGGTCTGGGCCAGTGAACAGCCATGTCTTTCAACTAGAGATGTCATTGAACTTGGTAGCTTATGTCATACACCAAAGACTCACTGACATTTAAGGTTTTCCAGTTTTCAAAAGTAATTCATGGATTCCATTTCCTTTTTAAACTTTCCAAAGCTACGCTTCAAGTGTATGAGAAGTTCCTTTAATAATGGATAAAGACAGGCGGGCGCCGCGGCTCTCTAGGCTAATCCTCCGCCTTGTGGCACCGGCACACCGGGTTCTAGTCCCAGTCGGGGTGCCGGATTCTGTCCCGGTTGCCCCTCTTCCAGGCCAGCTCTCTGCTGTGGCCCAGGAGTGCAGTGGAGGATGGCCCAAGTGCTTGGGCCCTGCATCTGCATGGGAGACCAGGGGGAAGCACCTGGCTCCTGGCTTCAGATCAGTGTAGCTCCAGCTGTAGCAGCCATTGGGAGGTGAACCAACGGAAGGAAGACCTTTAAATATATTAAAAAAAAATGGGTAAAGAATGCTACAGTCCTCTTATTGGGGACCTGATTTGTAGATGCTGAGAAGGGCTATCGGCTTTTGCAGTTCTCCTTAGCATTAACAGAGACAAATGTCTGCCCAGCTTCTGCCAACTGACTTAAGGTGAAACTCTGGGGCAATCATTCACATTGTTGCTGCCTATTTTGTGCCTACTCCATGCTTCACAGAAGACTGGTAGGTTCAAATGACCAGAAAAGTTTCTCCTTGAGATACAGTCTAGCTCCCCAAACCATACCGTGCAGTAAAGAAATCACAACAAGTTTAATTCCCAATATGCATGTCTCAGCTCAATATGAAGAAATTACACAATAAGAAATAAAAAATTCTCCCCGGAGACTCTGACAATCCACAGAAGAAATTGAAGACGGCACAGAAACTTAGATGGGTAAAATTGGAAACATTAGTTTAGTTACTTGCAACATTTCTGAAACCCCCTTTGGTTGCTGTCAGTCTTTTTTTTTTTTTTTTTAAGATTTGTGTATTTATTTTGAAAGTCAGAATTAGAGAGAGGGAGAAGGAGAGACAGAGAGAGATTGAGAGATGGCTGCAATCTCAGCGCTGGACCAGGTAAAAGCAGAAGCTTCATTTGCATCTTCCATGTGGGTGGCAGAGGCCCAAACACCCAAACACTTGGGTCATCCTCCACTGCTTTCCCATTAGCAGGGAGCTGGGTTGGAAGTGGAGCAGATGGAACATGACCCAGCATATGGAATGCTGGCGTTGCAGGCGGTGGCTTCACCTGCTCCATCACAATGCCAGTCCCTGCTTTCAGTCTTTATCACATTAACTCAGCCCATGGATTCTTTTTATGAATAATTGATTTGGCATGTTCATTATGATGGTCCAGGAGGTGACTGGTTTCATTGAATGTTTCATTTTTCATTGGAGGTCTGCACATATCCCTAAGTTATGTAAATTATGGTACCTCTTTTGTTTCTTTCATTGTATATGAAGTGCTAGATTGAGGCCATTCTTTCTGATTGAACACTGATATTCCCTTTTCAACACTTCACAAAGAGTAGTTTGTACACAGGGCATGGCATGAGTGTGGAAATAATCCCTGATCTGTGAGTCAGCTGTCATATGTATTTTCAAAGTTTTCGTAGTCCCACTGACCTTAATTTCTGTACTCTGAAAATGGGAATGACAAGTCTTGAACCTTTTCACAAAAAGCAGGTTGGTGGCTAACTGAATAGGGCTCAAAAGCACCCCAGAAATCTAGGAGAAGCTTGCCCTCACCAGCCAAGTGTGATGGTCTCTCCTAGTGGCCAGTGTGCTTACTGTCATTTCCAAGTAACAAAACAAACCTCAAACTGGATCTGTGGTTGATCACATGATCACTTGTAAGCAAACTCTCTGTGAGGCACAATGTAGATAGACCGAATGCACAAGGCACACCTCATTTTTTTTTAAAGATTTATTTATTTATTTATTTGAAAGAATCAGGGTGAGAGAGAGAGAGAGAGAGAGAGAGAGAGAGAGATCTTCCATCTGCTGGTTCACTCCCCAGATGGCTGCAATGGCTGGGGATGGGCCAGGCTGAAGCCAGTAGCCAGGAGCTTCATTTGGACCTCCCACACAGGTTGATAGGGGCCTAAGCACTTGGGCTATCTTCCAACACTTTCCTAGACCATGTCTTGGGAACTGGATTGGACTAAGTGGAGCAGCCAGGGCTCAAACTGGCGCCTATATAGGATGCCAGTGTCGCAGGCAGCAGCTTTACCTGCTACACCACAGTGCTGGCCATTGCATCCCTCATCTTTTAATCAGTAAAAAATCCCCTGGAATTGCTGTATTTGGAACAAAAGCCTGACCTCTGATAGCTGTGCCAGTTGCAGTGGTTCCTTCTAGATTGGCACTGTCCAATATGGTTAAGTACCTTAGGGGCACTAGCCCTATTTTTAATTAATTTATTTTTAGATTTATTTGAAAAGCAGAATGATGGAGAAACAGGAAGAGAGAGAGAGAGAGATTGGGAAAGAGAAAGAGAGAGTGAAAGAGTCGATCATCCATCTGCTTGTTTGCTTGTTCACTCCTCAAATGACCACACTGGCCAGGGCTGGGCCAGGCTGAAGGGTCTTCCATGTGGGTGGCAAGGACCCGAGTATTTGAGCTATCTCTGCTTTTCCAGGTACACTAGCAAGGAGTTGGATCTGAAGCAAAGCAAATTGGAATCAAACCTTTGCTCTGATATGGAATGCAGTGTCACAGTGGTAGCTTAACCCTCCGCAGCATGATGGCAGCCCCACTATCCATATTTCAAGTGCTCAGAAGCCATACATGCTAGACTACCTGCAGCCCAGAAATAGAGTATTTCCGCCAGACAGAGCTGCCTGGAACCAGCAAACCTTCCCCCTGTCCATTCTTCTAACTGGCCTGCAGCCAAACTTTACAATAGCATCAGGAAAATCTATCTCACACAAATACGGAGCACTTAAAAGTAATAGCACATATGCAATGAATACTGTATTTATACTTTTACCCAAACCCAGAAGAAGAGTCTAAGAAATGCTGAAGTGCATGTTACAAAGAGATTTGTCAACCAGTAGTCAATACCTAATTTTAAAAAGAATTATGGGACAGGGGCTAGAAATATGCTCTTTCGCTTTACATGTGAATTCCAGTTGATTCATGGTCTGAATGCCTACGACATTGCCTTCTCCCCGTTCCCCCAAGAATTAAAGATTGATTTTATTATAGGCTCATTCTTCTTTGTTTACAGCATCCCATCTATTTGATAGGGAATGCAACAGTGGCAGAGATTTAAGTGTTTAACATGTTATATATGCAAAAAGGGTAAACATCAAATATAGATCCAAGCTAAATGGTTTAAAGTGCATTGTTTATCATGCCTTACTTTATTGCTAATCTCACATCTTATAGAGAGAGCAGGCCTCACACATCCATAAACAGCCTACAAACCAAGCTATTGAATGAATAATATTTAAGCATAGCATTCATAAAATAAAGAATAGCATTAGAGTTGAAGAGACCATAGAACTGTCAGAGAAAGAGATGTCAAACCATCTCTTCAAAAATTAGAAAACTGAAGTTGAGAAGGGGGGTGCCCCCAAGTCACCTAATGTGTGACAGAGTCGGGATTAAAATCCACTCCCTGGACCTGGACCCAGGGATGTTTTGGATACTGATACTCTGTTCTTTGCCCTCACCTTCTAAGGAGGCCAAGGGAGAGAAGTGGGGGAGGGAAAGAGAGACAGCTGGCCTCTCTCAGAAGCCAGAAAGGTGAACCCTCCTGATGCCAGGCCAGCACCTGCCGGACAAAGTGCTTCTTCTCCTTAGCTTATCTCAGCATTTCAGGTATCTCATCTTGAGTCAAAGTTCCCACTTCCCAGAGTCACTTTCATGCCCAGTCAATGGGATTTCTGGAACCAGGTGCACCAATGACCTGTCCTGGTTAATTATTTGGTGTCTTTATTCTCTGGCTTAATAATGTGTTCCTTATTAAAATAATTTCAAGTTTCTTTGCCCTATTTCTTTCAGATGCAATCTGAGCATTTATCCTGCGGATTCACAGGTGTCATTTTAGCAGACTGTAAGTTCCCTAAAAAGGAAAGTAAAATTCACCTTTCAGTACATGGCAGTCATTAAATTAACAAAGATGCCCATGATGGAAAAGGACTAAGAACTTCAATAAAGGGTGAAAAAAGACTTATGTTTTATAGGAAAAACAAGCCACTGACTCCAGAAAAACTGGCATACTGGCCACAGGTATAATAAGCACCAATTTAATGGAAACAGGCAATCTAAATGAAATACAGTACAATGCAAAAATGCCCAGGAAGAAACAAGGTTGACTATGTATTGCCCTTAATTATCTCTTCCTTCATCAATTTTTCTAAACTCAAAGAGTTACAAATTGACTTTTGCAGGTCGGTGAGATGGGAGACAGCTTCCACGCTCTCTTCTAGCACTGCAATGGAATGCAGGCTCACATGGACTTCCTTCAATGGTGGGGTAGGGTTTGGGACATCAAGGCTGCAGGTATCTACACAGCGATAGTGCTGGTAGCTGTGAAGAGGGGCAAAAAGATCTCCCACCAATCTTTTTCTCTCACAGATTCCTGCAATTCTCCCTTTCTCTACTAGAGTTTGTCATCATAGGAATGAACAAGGCCCCCCATATTACTGAACTGGCATCAAAATGCAGCACCCCTAATAAGACAACATCATGAAAAGAAAGTAAGACCCAAGACAGTAATGTGGTGACTTTTGCTCTTCTGCAAAGATGCTGCTGAAGCTGCTTGAGAAAACAGTCACACAGCAGGTGCAGACGGGCTCTGGACAGGAGTAGCTGCTAGAACCCAGAGGGCAGGGATGGCTGCAACCATCTTTGTTGTCTTTCCAAGGGGATACCTTTGGTATCTACAAGAAGCAATAACAGCAGCCTCCCATCAATTACATGTTGAGAGAACCATGGAATGGCATGTTTACCTTCCTTTTCAATATTTAGGGAGATATCTCCTGATAGAATCCAGTGAAAACAATGGAACTGAGAAATTCCATATACCCAAGAGCAAAAAATGCTCACAAGAACCCTGTTTGCCAGTTAGAACGGTGAACTTAAATTACATTCAACATTTCATGTGAGAATACAAATCATGAATTTTAAAAATGTCTGTTGAGCTAGGTAAGCGGACAATGTGAGGCACTAGAATGTTTGCCTGAAGCATTTGACTGTAGATCAAGTACAACAGTCCATCTGGTTTCCTGGACAGTTTCTCTCTTCTTCCAGGGGCTCTGACCTTTAGCAACAGCCTTCTAAGGAGGGAATGGCAAGGCAACTGTGACCAGGCAGAGAATACCCCAGAAAACAATATTTGGTAGATTCTGAAAAAACTTATTGGTGGTTGACTCACTTAAAAACATTTTATGATATGATACATCAATAACCTCTTCATTCTCAAGAGGCAAGATATCATGAGTTGTATATTTTATTTTGACTTTACATGCGGTGTTAAAAACCCCAAGTACATATTATTTACACATCCACAATACAAGTTTACAAGATATCTATACATGTTAAAGTACTCTATAAAACAGTATAGAGTCACTTCACTTTAGGGTTACTTTTTATGCCGTACCATTAAAAAAGATACAATCTGTGTTTTACCTTTGCACAAATGGATAAAGCATTTAAAAATTAAATTAACAGGATAGAGACTAGATTTAATGTTAGAAAACTCAACATAAATACTGATAGAACTCACATTACAAACTACAAGGCAGCACAATGTTACAAAATGTTATCGGGGTCACACAGAGTTACTGTTCTGTTTTATACACGCTGGGATTAATATTGGTAAGATAAATTCAAACACGTTTGTCATTGGCGGACTGAGTAGAGTTTACCATTGGTTGGTTTAATTTATTATTAATCTGTAATATTTTAGTTGCAAAGCTGAAGTGTTTCAAGAATGAAAGTTTTAGCTTTTGAGCTTCCAGAGATCACAGGAAAATCATGTTCTTTATAAAACAATGTTCTCAAAGGAAAAGAATAACTGTTATCAGTATTCTACATTCTGTATAAAAATGATCTGGTCTTCGGCCACCCGTCCTCCCCCAACTACTATATACCAACAGCGTTAGCACAAGACATCAGCTGAACTTAACTTGTCTGAGCATTCCTTTGCCTTGGTGCTTTGTAGATTAGGTTCAATCAACAATTGTGTGGTGTGCAGCATATTAATTGAAATAGTCAGCGGGGTTGCACATCATCAACTGTAAGTGTTCTCTGCCAAACTCCCTGCAAATGACTCTGGTTTCCTCAGGTGTCATTCCCCAGGAAACCTCATTTAACTTCACATTCTCCCTGTGTCATCCTTAGGAAAGCGGAAGTGGAATGTTGATCATGGCAAAAGATGTAATGCTGCTATTCGAGTGGACTATTTAACAATTAATTGTTCTAGATTGTTTCTGGATTTTTTTTTTTAAAAGTCTTTCAGGTGCTGGTTGAAAAACATTTACAACTGGCACTCAGTAAATGATGTGCTATATTGAAAACACGTGACATATTTTAGTACTTCTATCATTCTCATGAATAAGGCACAAAATGCACAGATTCGGGTAAACTCACACGTGGTATTTACAGTATATTGTCATTACCTGCATGACTTAGGGCAAAATTCTCACAAAACACAACATAGACAATATGATTGCACCACTGTTAGGTTTTCACAGGCCATTTCTGTTAAGCCAATTACAATTCTTTTCATATGTCTTTCTTTTGTCTTCTTCTTTATTTTTTTTTTAACGTGGTGGGTAGGAGGAGTTAGAAGAGGAGAAATTTTGCTACATGGGGAAAAAAATAAACACAATCAAATTAAACACTATTAGTGTCCAAGGTTATATGATGGGACTCAGGTTTTGATTCACAGTGGACAGGTAAATTTTACTACTGAATACTTGTGGATATTCAACGATAGTTCTTAATATCTCTATCTCCTTAAGCTGGCAAGACGGGAATAGAAGTTTTCAAGAATAGCAGCACAAAATTACTTAGAACTCTTACATTCTGGCATTGGGTACCACATAGGTGGAGTTGATCATTTTGATGGTCAAAGGAGCCTTGATTTTACTCTTTTCTCAAAGCTGAACACAATAGACAGCTGAGGGAAGAAGTGACTGTGTCTTGTTCAGTCATGCTCAATGTAAACAACTCCATAGCACAAAAAAAGATGTAATGGGCACCTAGACAAATTCTAGTGGGTACAGAACACATGCACACACACGCGCATATACACACACGCGTGTACACACACACATTCACACACACAACACTGTCGTGGCATGGAAAAAAAAATGCCACACATTAAAAAAAATGCTACAGTTTGGGTCAAAGACTGAATTTTTAGCAATCTGCATGGAAATCTACAAGTTCATTTCTTTGAGACATTACCATCTTTTTTTTTTTTTTTGACATTTGTGCAAGAGGCAAGGTGAATGCATACGTATTAAAATGTTCACATTTAATGGGAAGACCACACATAATGGCAGTCTAAATTGAACCCATTTTCAAGTATTTGTTCACAGATTCTTCTGAGTACTGAATCAGCTCTTTATACCAGTAAGGTAGCCCCGGAAGCTACACATCTCTTTAGCTTCAAACGAAAGAAATGGAATGACCAGCACCTTCCTTGGTTTTCAGGCAAGGACGTAGAAGCCTTGCTCCAGTAGCTACATGTGGCAAGTTCTGATGCTGCCAAAGTGAGGAAGAGTCTCTTTGGCCACTTGGTTCTCCTAAAATACAAGAGAGTCTCTTGTCTCAGCGGTACCCTTATGACATCATGCTCTCAACAACATGGACAGGATAAAGCCACACAGAAAGAGCACACTTGAGGCCTAGTAAGTGTATTTGTTCAGTGGTCTGACAGGTGTGGTCTGAGGAACAAAGGCAGGCTTTGGTGGCACATCAGGTTTTAAGGACGGTGTCCTCTTTAGTCCCGTCCTGGGAAGGGTGCCAGTACTGGTGTAGCTGCTCTGTCTGGAGAGCGAGGGCTGCAGATGAACGCTCACTGGTGTCCCCTGAATGTAGTCCACCTTCGCCCCTGTGGGGGTGGCCATATACCCTCCACGGTTCACACTAGGCTGTCTAGATAACAAGACGCCATTTGGTGAGGTTAAGTTTTTAGGCATTGCAGATATAGAGTGCCTCTGGGAGGAGTTTTTGTGATAACCTCTTTGTCTTTCCAGAGAAGTCATTGGGACTCCAGGAGTGGTGGGGACATCCACTCGCTTGGTGGGGCTGTTTCTGGGGAGGGTGGAAGGAGGGGAGTAGAGTGACGCCTCCCGGTTAGGCACCTTAGGTGGGACCTCGGACATGGGTCCCACGGGATCCAGCATTAGGGTCTGGTGGGCCATTTGGATGTCTCCCATGATGGCTTTGGGGTTACTATTTGGGTCATTTAGATGCTTCAGGAGATCATTGAGAGTATTTCTGGAGTCCACAGAACGCCGGTGATCTCGCTTACTGGATGACTTTGTAAGAGGGTGATCCACGTGCTGAAGCTTCTTTTCTGCTTTGTGAGCATTGGAGTTTGAGAAAGACGTGTTGTAGTCATGCGTCGCATTCGGAAGAACGATGGCACTGGGAATATGCCCGTGACTTAACGGCGAGTGGGGTGGAGGACTAGAAGGAAAAAACTGGGGCGTTTCTTTCCTTGAAGCTCCATGGCTGTGGGCCTTGTCTGAGTGGCTCTTCATGGCCTGCAAGGTCTTCTGGTGCAGCACCGGTGTAGACTCAGGTGTGGGCAGAGCAGCCAACTCGGGGGGTTGGCCGCGATGGTCCATCACCATGGATTTGGTATCTCCACTGGGTGGCAGCTCTTTCCGGCTGGTTAGCAGGTTACTATAAAGTTTAGGAGAATCAATATTCTGTTGATATTCCTTGACTGGGCTGTCAAAAAGACCATTCAGTTTGGCAAAACTTCCACTGGAGTCGGTGCATGACTGGGCAGATTCTGCATCTTTATGGATCTTCCTGTTTTTCCGAACGAACATGTCGCGGTAGCAGTATACTGCCACTCCTGCAATAAACGCACCCAAAACAAAAGCGGCAAAGACACAAGTGATGAGGACATTCATGTGGACCATCTGGTTGGACTCTCCAGACTGGACTTCCCAGCGCACACCTGCAACAGACACACAGGAAAGGTCTGAATGAAGTGCTTTTTAAAAACAGAACGTAACAGCAAGTGACTTCCACTGAGCCATCACTGCCTTCCCACATGCTCCACATGCTTATTAGCTTGTGGGGTCAGGCAGACCCCAATATTTCAAACATACATTTTTGCTTTCATCCCAATAGGATCTCCAGAGACATAGGATGATTGCTGCAAAGCCAGGATAACTCTAATCTCCTACTTTTATTTGTCTATTCTTTTCTTTCCAATCCCTCATTAATAGTTGTTAAGCAATGTTAGAAATTTTAAGAGTTTCTACCTAAAATACAGAGTTAGAGAGTGTGAATCTTCTAAACATCAGATTTTAAGTTCACGAAATGCTTTGTCTGTTTTTCTTCTAATTCATAAATCAAGTTAAAGGGCAGCTACTGAGACTGTGGGAATACATAAGTTAGCATAAATATATAACACTAAAATAATTATGTTAATACAGTTATACTAACTAGGATAAAAAACAGAAAGCATCTGTTGGGTCAATTTTAGCTACAAATATAGACTTTACTGTTTGCTTTAAATTTTTTCTCACTTCCACCTTTGGGTGAAACAACCTTGAATTACCTGTTATGCAAGAACTCCAAACACTGTGAGAAAATATATACTACATACAAGTTAAATAATGTCATTAAACTATCTGGAGATACTTGAGATATATTTAAATTAGACCTAGAAGGAGAAGAGGTAATTAACTTGTAATTATTGGAAATTTCAGTGCAACCACAGACATCTAACAGCCAATCCAAGAAATGTTAGTTTGAGAGGTATCCAAGTCTGTTACATGCTATAAATGCAGCTATCCCAGAGTAAGGTTAAGTCAGAGTGATTTGGAAGATTCTGTAGCTTTAGGTTAGTGCTAAAGGCTTTGAAATTAGTTGCTTTAAATCAATGTTCAGTGTTACGGAATTCAGTGGCATTGTGAAAGGCCAAGAAAAAAAGGTAGGGTTGGTGAAACTGAAAGAAATGGTATTACTAAAGAAAACAAAGTAGAAAGAAGAATGATTACAAAATTGGTTACAATGAAAACATATAAAACCAAAATCAACAGACGTAAATCATAAATGACAAGGCACTGCCATAAAAACTGATTGGAAACCTGATACCCTATTTTAGTAAGCACTAAAGAATAGATTTTTTTTTCCCCCCAGAGTAATAGATCTAATAAGCTAACTCAACAGGCAGCTATTTGATAACTGCTTCTATTATGGGCTGAAAATGATAGTTATGGACAAGCACTCTGTTAGGTTTGATTGCTTGTGGCATTCAAGCAACTTGTCACATATCCTTTTCATACTGGATTTCGAATTGAAGCTAAACAAGAAGCTGGGAAAGGTTCCTAGACAAAACATCTGACATCAGGATATGTGCAATTAATGAGTTCTTTTTTTTTTTTTTTTTTTGGTTTTAATCTTGCAAGGGTGACCCTGCAAATTCTCTGATCTCCAGAAGGCATTCAGCTTTTTAGACAGAAATCAACACAGATTAGATTGTCTGAGTGGCTGTTTCACCAACCCTGCCTTTAACAGCTTTCCACCTCTTTCATCTTTGAAGGACAGCACTCAGACATAACCACAAGAAAACCCAAGTGGCTGTGACCGGTGGCGGCGGAGGGACAGCTCCAAGCAGGTTCGCCTCTGGAGAACCACACACTTCTCAGAGAGAGAGGGAATCAGGTTTCCATGCAGTTGGAGATGAGTTCCCTGGTGAGGCCTTACCCTTTGGGATACCTGATAAAGGATCAGTAAAATCAGAAGTGTTTGGGTCATCTTGGACTACAAATTTCCGGGAGCTCGTCAGTTTAGGTCTCCAGGTATCACTCACTTTAGGTGTAATTTCTGGGATACTTGCCATTGTGGTAACAGAAGATGAAAATACCTCCATGTCTGTGATGCAAACAGATTTTTATTAACATGGGTAGTGTCAGAAGGCTTTTCTAGTGGGTCTGTTGCATTTATAAAGAAAGTTTAGGTGATTTTATGGGAAAACATGTTCTAGGATTTTGTAAAAACAAACCTGAGGAGGCTACCCCAAATCCCTTTCTTGCAAGGGAAGAATCAAAGCTAAAAATTAACTGTAAAGACATATTAAGCAAACTTCAACACTACTCCAGACATTCCTACTGAAGCTTCTGTGGTTATTAATGACACATACGGGAAAAGCTAACTTAAATCCCAATGCCTATAAATGACTCATTTCATCCTCTTGTGTGACAGTATCCTTTCCTGCATGTGTGTTTTAAAAAGCTCTTCCACAGATTCTTAGAAACTTTATTGCCTTCACTGGAGAAGCTCTACTGTACCCTCATCAGGAAATAACTGGCTAAGTCCCTGTCCACCCTTGGTTCTGGAAGTGATAAGCCAGTTCTGCCTGGGAGGTTTATTCGGCTTCACCATGGGCCTCCTGCCCATGTGTAGATGTCTCACTGCTCTGAGGGCCTACCCTCTGCACCGAAGCGCTGCAGCATGGGCAGCCGCTCTCTGTGACTTCCAGCATGCCCTGCGAGTCTCTCTCAAAGGCTTAGCAGCAACTCATGTGAAAGCAACGACAGTCACACCCTGCACAAGGATGTCTGGATATACAAGATACGCCATTCTTTTCTCCATACTGAGGAATGGGTCTGCTGGCCAGTTTCAGCAGCAGCAACAGGACCAGGAGGGAGTTAAGTTCACCTCTTAGTGTGTCCATAACTGATTTCCATCAAGTCGATTTCCCTCAGAATGTAAGCATATGCTTTTAGGTTAAAACCTTTGAGACCTTAATCCAGACTGGGGACCAGTCTCGGATGGAGGCTCCAAAAGAGATACAGACAGAGGGCCTTGGAGAGCCCAAGGATCATCTTAACACATCACAACAGCTTCGACTGACTGAAGCTTTCTCCACACTGAGACCACTTCCACACTGAGCCCATGACATTCAGAGATTCCAAGGTTACTGCAAACCATTCAAAAAAGACCTCCAAAATTCATAAATACACATTTTTGGGAAATGTGTATTTGTTGACTAGGTCTTAGGAAAGGTGAGGAGAGAAGGGGGAAATAATGAAAACCTGCCATCCATCAAATGCGGATGGCCAGAAGGAACATTCACGATGCAAACGGGCGAGAAAGAGAAAAGCTTGGGTGGGCGTGCGTGCAGCTGGAATGCAGCCTAGGATAACCAATTTGATTTCTTAAAGGATGTGCCTCGGTCATGATGAGCTGTAAACATGCTACACAGGGGTGAAGGGCTGAGTAAGAAAAAGTCTTTTGGTACCATCAGTGGGATTATGAGTAAAAGCAGAAAAATGGAGGGCTGCCAAACTGCACAAAAGGAGGGGAGAAGGGGCTGAAAATGCTGAACTGAAGGAAAGAAAAGGTTGTTAATTCAAAAAAATTAAAAAAACTAACCAGATGTTGGACCGCCAAATATTTTGTAATCTGGTGTAGTTGAAGTAGGCAAAATTTCTAAAAGAATTAAAGGAACAAGTAATCAGTGAAAAGTAACCAAAAGAAAGTAAAAATTTATGAACTCCAATTAACTAAAAAAGCCAAAAGAAAAGACTAGAAACTAAAAGATTAACCTACTGGTTAGACTACTAGACTACCTCTCTCTAGGTTTCCTACAAAATTGTAAATGGTGAAGGAAAAGAAAAATTAAGATTCTTTTCTAATGTATCCCTAGGATGAAACAGCTCAGCTTTGGCGAAGTTTAAGTTAAAGGCTAGGTGGTATGTGTCCCAAGTCGTTAAAAAGGCTGATTGTAAAATAATGTTCACGTGCAAATGTGGTCAAAAAGAAGTGGCGGGAGAGAAGGAAGGCTCTGGCTCACCATGGCAGTCCCCTAGATGGGCTGTGTTGCCGTACTCTGCATCTTGTTCATAGCCTCCAGCGCTGTGGTTATGGAAAGCAAAGAAGTCTTCAGTTAACAGCCTTCATAGGAACACAAGTGACCACCAGAGCAGAACCAAGAACACAAGACTGATTAGTAAAAACAGGCAGAGACAAACATGTACAGTTCAACATAACTTGCTAAACTAACTGTTTTGGCTAAAGAGTTGTTAATTAGAATATTTAAAAGAACAGAACAGAACTGTTGCTTTTTCTCATCCCTTTTCCTTAAGTATTATTGTCTATAACCTCACTTCCTTAGCACATCTCCAGGTTTGTATGTGTATTTTTTTTTCTTTCATCCACATCAAAAAAAAGAAAATTACTATCATCAAAAGTTTTCCTAAGTTTCTGACTTTACAAATGCTGAAGATAGTTGATGACTAATGTGACAAAACATACTCACAGCATCCCTGGAGTTACTCTCCCACAGGTTCCCTGGCTCAGCCAGCCACAGTAGGGGTCACGAGATGCAATACAAGACCTGTAGGTAACCAAAGAGAATGTAACTTGGCTTGTCTCGTCATCAAATATTCCCAAGCTGCAAGGCCCAGGGTAAGTGACGAAAACACTAGCTTACTTTTTGCATGATCCATAACGCTCACAGCGGCTGAGGGGGATGCGGATAACACAGCTGGAGAATGCCACGTACAAGGCATGGTGATCTTTATCCAACTGCAACGAGATGACCTTTTTGTCTTCCTCATTCTCAGCATTACACCTGTGTTGTGGGATACATTTTGAAGCCATAGGTTTAGTCAGTCACAAGCCACACGAATTGTGCAAGGCAAGTATGGTTTGCTTTTGTAATTACAGAGAGCCTGGGAAATCTGAAGGGATGAATTCTTGGTGGCAACCCAGGCAAGTAGTTAGTGTGGAGAACAATAATTATAAAATTCATCTCCTACTTCACTGCATGGTTTGTTAAATTTCAGGCGGGAGGGCACGTATTACGGCACAGTGGGTTACGCCGCTTGTTGGGACACCCATATTGGAGTACTTTTCGAGTCCCAGCTCCAACACCTCCAACCCAGCTTCCTGCTAATGAATCCTGAGAGGCAGCAGATGGCTCAGGCTCCTGCCACCCACCTGGGAGACCCAGATGGAGCTCCTGGCTCTAGGCTTCAGCCTGGCCCTGCCCTGGCTGCTGTGACCATCTGAGGAGTGAACCAGTGGATGGAACATCTCTGTCTCTCTCTTTCTGTCTCTCCTTCTCTCCCTGTTACTCTGCTTTTCAAATAAATCAATAAATCTTCTTTTAAAAATTCAGGCAGGACAAGAGTTTTCATTTTAAGGTTGCTTTCCTGTCACAGTGATTCAAGGAAATTGCATTTGTGAAGGTTAGGCTAGACTACAGGGAAGGCAAAGGATAACCTGTAATGCATGTAAGTTTTACCATACCACATGTTTCTGGATTTCTTTTCAGTTGCCTTTACTCCATTTCTCTCATTTATTTCGTGTGTGTGATAATGGCTCCAAATAATCTCTATTTATTAATGGTTGGAAGAAAGTGTCTAACCAGTATTATATTTTTGATGTGTGCATGCTTATAACCCCTGTCTGCTCCCTGTAGCATCCTGAAATATATCCGTGAGATAAAAACGGTGGTGCTAATATGTTCTCATTTTCCACATGTGAAAAACAAGGGCTGAATTATTTTTAAATTCACCAGCGGTTTACCCTCCTTGCCCTAGTGGACCCAGAAAGAAAACAAAACAAGAAACCAAAACCAACCAAACAAAAAAAACCCCAGGATTTATTTCAGTGAGAAAATAAAATTCTAGTATGCCAACCACCACTAATTCAGAGGACTGGAAAGAAATGACTGATAAACTTGACGTGGGCAATTTCTGAGCAGCGCTGGGGAGTGTTCTTGTGAAATATACCTACTTTGCATGGTTGTAAGCTTCAATCTCTTCCAGTAATACGCTGTCATTCAGAGAGAAGGGACTGGTCTTTGCCAAAACTTTCAGTACCACGCCAGCTTCAGAGCCAACAAAGATGACTGTATAGTTCTGGTAGGGGCCAGCAGAGCGGTCAATGGCGATGGCCGTCAATCGGTACCTAGCAGAGGAGGCGGGGCGGGTCAGGCAGGGTCAGCAATGGGAAAAGGGCCCATTGGGTGGGAGTGGCCCAGCGTTCCCCACACATCTCACCTGACCCGTGTCTTCGTGAACCAGGGCTCATCAGCAATGGGTGGAACAGCTGAGTCCATCAGAGGGTGGGATTTGATGAACGCCAGCGTCTCATCCGGAAAGTCGATGGAGGTTCTGTAGGCTTCAGCAAGGCCATGCTTTGCACAACAGCCAGGCCTGCAAGGAAAACAGTGTTCTTTTATCCATCCACTTTCTCCAAATTGAATGCAAGGAATAAGTGTACATTTTGAAAGAAGGGGTCAAGAGATGAAGGAGAGTGAGCAAAACCAGAGGAGTGATGCTGTTTTGCTGAATTCCGTGGGGCTGCTACATTCCCTGGCATTGGGTGGCAGTTCATAGGTTAGGGTTGCTGACTGGGTGTGAGATACAGCAGAGGAAGCCCTTCCTGACATGAGACACTGGCCCAGCTCCTCTCTTGATGGATGGAAGGATGGATACTTTCAGGAACCAGAGAGTTTTGTTCAAGACAAAACCCTTTTCAACATTTTTCCTTTTTTTTTTTTTTTTTTGACAGGCAGAGTGGACAGTGAGAGAGAGAAACAGAAAGGTCTTCCTTTGCCTTTGGTTCACCCTCCAATGGCCGCCGCGCTGATCCGATGGCAGGAGCCAGGTGCTTATCCTGGTCTCCCATGGGGTGCAGCGCCCAAGTACTTGGGCCATCCTCCACTGCACTCCCTGGCCACAGCAGAGAGCTGGCCTGGAAGAGGGGCAACCGGGACAGAATGTGGCGCCCTGACCGGGACTAGAACCTGGTGTGCCAGCGCCGCAAGGCAGAGGATTAGCCTAGTGAGCTGCGGCGCCGGCCCAGCATTTTTCCTTTACCTTGGCTTTGGTACTTTGTCTTCAGGGACTGCCGTCCAAACAGAATCTGGAGTTTTCTGTTCTTTAAACCGTCCTTTGAATACTTTCTCTATGTCATCCATGCTAAATGCACAGACTGCAGAACCAGGAATGCTGACAAAAAGGAGAGAGGCGTCAGGAAGAGGCTGGTGACAACGGGCCTGTGCTTGGCTCCAACAAGCGATCCCGGAACACTGCTGGGATTGTCAGACACCTGTCCTCACCTGTTGAGCTGTGTGGTGAACACCCCGACCACAGTAGGGATGCCATTGATTTGTATAATGTCCGTAATGGACTGCAGAACATCAAAGTAGAAAAATGAATCCCCAGGGACAGAACAGTTAAGCCGAGCCTTCAGAAAAGATGTCCAGTGTTTCTCCAGGACCCGCTGGGAGCCACCCATGTCATTTTTACATATGCGGGCCACACGGGAATAGACGGCCTGCCCGGGGACAAAAGCAAAGCAATGGGGTTATGAACACAGAAGAGGAACGGAGAGAAAATGCTGATATTTAAGGGAAGAACGAAAATGAGACAGGCATCCTGTTTAAGATCATCTAGCAGCCTTCTCTTTAGGGATCGGGAAGATGAAATCGTACACAAGATCTGTCCCAGAGGAGAAGGGGCCCGCTTCCTGTTCTGCCAACCGTGCTTCCTGAGATGTGAGCTCTGTGGCTGCCCCGCTGACCGAAAGCCTCTCCCGCAGCTTGTCTCCAACTTTGTTTCTCCTATTGTTGATGAAATGTGCTGCTTTAAACTTGGCACGGAAGGGGCTGCAATCCCGTGAGCTTTTACTGAAGCTCTCAACATTGAACAAGGGCCTCTATTTTCCAACCTGTTTTAGGCACCAAGAAAGAGTGGAGTATCCTTGGATTTTTAAGGAATAAATTCAGCCTCCACAGCTCAAGGGTACACAGCTCTATGGTGACAGGAAAAAAAAAAAAAAAAAAGAAAAAAAAAAAAAAAAGAAACCTTCCCAAGGCCCAAGGCCACCCTTCCCACTCTGACCATTGTTCAGGTGTTTTGCAGTAATTATTCTTGTGATAAGCAACCCACTTCCTTGTACACGGCCACCATGAATTAAATGCTGGGAAACCTGCCAAGGGAGTATCCTTAACTCTACCAAAGTGGTCTCAATTCCACGCTGTAAAAATGCCCAATATAAGTTAGCTGCATGTACTTGCCTTGCCTAAATTATTGTGTTCCACAGCAATTTCTCGAAAGAAGAAATAGACATAGTTTCCATATTCTATAGCATGAAGAAAGTGTGGCTCTGAAAGAAATATTGAAAACGAACTGGTTCCTAAATGATAATTCAACCAGAAAGACACCGCCTTCCCACCCCCCACCCCCATTCAACTGACATGGGCATGACTGGCAGATGTCACAGTTACCCTCAAGCTAACAAGAACTTTGATATGCCAATGATTTTGAGGAGTCCAAATATGGGTGTGTTCAAGCTTCGAGGAACCATTGTCTTTAAAGTAAGCTAATGGACTGTAAAGAGGCCTACAGGGAACTGAACTACAGCATAGGTCCTCATTTCAACACATTTATTCATTAACCTATTTAACTAGGGAAGAAAACTTCTTATGCTGAGGTTAGAAAACCTTGGTTTCTAGATGCCAAAGAACATCAAAATGTCTACAGATACAGAAATGGACTCATCAACTCTCACTGTTAACTTTCTTTCTTTCTTTTTTTTTTTTTTTGACAGGCAGAGTGGAGAGAGAGAAACAGAGAGAAAGGTCTTCCTTTGCCATTGGTTCACCCTCCAATGGCCACCATGGCCGGCGCACTGCGCTGATCCAAAGGCAGGAGCCAGGTGCTTCTCTTGGTCTCCCATGCGGGTGCAGGGCCCAAGCACTTGGGCCATCCTCCACTGCACTCCCGGGCCACACCAGAGAGCTGGCCTGGAAGAGGGGCAAATGGGACAGAATCTGGCGCCCTGACCGGGACTAGAACCCAGGGTGCCGGTGCTGCAGGCGGAGGATTAGCCTAGTGAGCCCCGGTGCCGGCCTCTCACTGTTAACTTTCTAAGCTGGGGAGACAGAAGCAGCCAAGTAGACTGTGTGCATTCAGAGACAGATAAATCCACACTCAGAGGTGAGCTCCCTCTGTTTTTGAGGTCACCCAGGACAAACACCTGACTACTGACTACCACGTTCCACATTCTCCATCAATGATCCCATTCACAATCAAAGCAGAGTGTACTTGTACTAAAGAAACAATACAAAGGTACTTCAAAAGTTCGCAGAAAATGGAATTAAAAGATAAGTATATTTTGGTACAAAAACTTGAAATCCATTCATAAAAGGAGTTTTCAAAAACCTCAGGGAAAACACATATTATCAAACAACTATGCATGGATTTCAAATGGGTTTTTTGCACCAAAATAAACTTACCATTTGACTTCAGTTTTCCATGAACTTTTTGAAGCACCCTCATGTCAATTCATGCACTGAATTTCCTGGTGGTCTTGGCTGCTGTTCCCACTCAGGCCATGCCACTGTTCTCAGTGAGCCCGTCACACTGCTCTTCAAAGGTACCTTTTATCCACTTGGAATCGTATTTTATTGTGCGGAGGGCAGATCCATCTCCCATGCTCCGATAAATAACAGCGTCACTGGCCAAGAAGTCAGCCACTGTGGCAGAATATAGCTTCCCATCTGAAACCCAAATTATAATTTTGGTAACATAATCATAAATATCTCACAGTATATTAGCTTAAGTAGTAGGTTATACCCTTTGTAGTGCCTTCACCTGTGTTAACAATACTGATTTGGTTAAATATATACCTGATGCTCATAATCAACCTGTGACAGGTTGGCCCAAGGAGTCACCCAATTTTTCAGATGGGAGACCCAAGCATCAGATCGTCTGGCATCTTATTCAGGGTCACTGGCTGAGTTAACACGAGAGGCACATGTCACAACGCCTGTAATATGCACTGAAACACCCTCACTTCTAATTTCCTCCTTTTAAAACATTTGTTCATAGGCTGTAGCCTTTGAAATACCTATATCAACGAGCCTATTGAAGTTATGAACTTTTTTCCCTTACTTTAAATTCCTTTTTCACCTTCAATGTCATTAATCATTTATATTCATTACAGTAAAGGTTCTTACCTGCAAAAAGGGCAACATTGGTTTGTCTGGCATCAAATGGGCATCTTGCCAGGCCACTAATTTCTTCTCCATCATACTCTAAGGTATTCAACTACAAAAGAAAAATAAATAGCTGGTGTCATATCCGTTCAACGTACCTGTTTGAAGGCAATACTGCTTTATTTGTATTGAAATTCTACTTGAGGAATTCTGCCTTTATTCTTTCATAGCATTACAGATAAATTACTGGTTTAGAGCAGAAAGGATTCAACTGTAACAGCTACCAGAAGAAGAACAAAAGTTGATCAAAAAAGCATCCCATATAAAAGACACTTACCCTATAGTATCGACACATGGGATTGAATGCATTGGTACCACAAACAAAAACCATCTCATCATTTCTTGGAACAAATACTTTGATAAAGTTGTGGCACTCATCCTAAAAAAAAGTAAGAATTACATTAACATTAGACATATCATATGCTGACACTGTAGTATCAATTCCACAGAAAGGTGAAATCTAGCAGGCTCCTGACTTTTTAACTCACTTTATGTTTGCCTTTCATAGCACAGTTTTCTCGATCCTGTTGTCTTGACCGCCATGTCAGCTTCTGAATTAATCAAGCGAAACCAAAGTTTAGTTTTTAACTGGGAACATTTGTGGAGGGCAAGGGGATATCATTCAAGTTCTGAGTGAATGCAAATAAATTTGGCAATCATAGCTGCTCACCTTGCTTGGTATTACTTCTGTTTGGGGGATTTCATTTAAGTTTACTGTATAAACTTGATCCCTGTTGGAAACCAAGCAATAAGTCATATCATGTGAATGCATAAAACTGTTAAGCTGCTTCTTGTTTTATTCTTACAGATCTGCGTTTATTGTGTTTTGGAGATCATCTGGACTTTCTGTGTCTCAAACAAAGTCAACAAAGAGTACTTTTTCATTAGTGAGATGCTTTTATATATCGCTGTCATCGGGGAGCAAAGAAAACACTTCTCTGCAGGCATAGGTCAAACTGCTACTTGGTATTAGCATAGACATATTTCTAATGTTTGCTTGAATAATTCTAAGTTAAAGAAGAATAAAGAAATATTTTCCCCCTGCTGCTTTAGGGAAAAAAGAATGGTGTATGATTTCTCGATGGCAGTAAAAAAATAGCACTGCTGAAGGCTTTAGTTTTGCATTTTGTTCTTGGTATACAACACTGACTCTTCTTGGTGAATATTTTTGGCTACTTGCAATTCTTGATCACAATCACATATTAGTTTTTCATGAACTAGACACATTAATGCAAGCACCACAAGAGAAAAGAATTTTAATCTAATAAACCAACGAGAGGAAAATTACCTGCCAGCAATATAAAGTGTGTCTCGAATTTTCAACATCAGCTGAAAGTCCAGCCTGTGCTGAGATTCATTGCCTGAAGGGCGTCCTCTAAAAACCGGATATTGCCTTGAATCTGCAAGTAAAAATGGGCTAAACCATCAGTCAGGATTATGGAGCTGAAGAATCAATATACAGCATTGATTAGCTGTATATACTAGTTGTAGAAGGGTTTTAACTAAATTCTCCTCTTAAGGTCTTGAATATAAATGAATAAAAGATGGTGAATGCCAGCAAATAGTATTTTTCTTTTAACCGAAAATATATAAGCAAAATATAGGTATCTGTAGAAAAACACCCAACATAGCTGTCCCATGTTCCCCAAACATTAGGTAATGATTATAGGTAAATTAATATGCAAAACAATTTTAAGACATATGAAATTTCACTGTTTTTCTGGAAATGCAAACAACCAGATTCCTTCTTAGAAAAGCAGACAGTCACTTAGACAACTTACAGTGATAATCAACAGTATTAAGGGGTTCGTCATCTTCAGGAAAGCTGACTGCCCTCAGTGGGGACACCATTAGGAGCAACACGTAGGCACAAAGTAAGAAGAACCTCATGGTGGGCCAGATGTAGTCAGAGCAGCCCCTTCTCAGAAATCCCACTCAGCTACCTGAAAAACAGAAGCAGTTTGGAAAGATCTCTATGCTGCGATGAAACTCTTCTCATTTGTAATCAGCCCAATTTTCACCACCAGCTCGGTCCAAAACCCCCCCTACACTGCCCCCGGAATGCTGGCAGTGGTGGATTACGTATCTCCAAAAACACAGGCAAAAGATGGCCCTGTGCCAGGCCTGGTTAAAGCATCTGGTGAGCATACTGATGGTAGAGGCAAATCTGCAAGAATTTTTGAGGGAACTGTGTATGTCATCACAGCAAAATCACCAGAACCACAAACAGAAAAGCTGGCTGCTGACTTGGCAAGAAGATGGGCAAAGTTGGGACTAGAATTTTAATTAAACTACAATCTGCTTCCCTTCCCCCAGTCCAGAAATAGATCCAACACAGCCTGTCTGTGCCCCCCACAAAATGCCCAAGCTGTCTCAAAAATATCCAGGTGACTGATGGTCTCTTTATCCCTTCACCAGCTCTTTGCCAAGTTCCCAGTGTTACTCAAGCCTTAGCCCTAAATTCTTAAGTAGAATAGTTCCCTTGCTTCAGTAAGATAACATGCAAACAATGACACAAATGACCTTGAGGCAGGGTGAAAAGGAATCAGAAGAAATGAAATGATTTCATGATAACCAATCGAATAAAGGGGGGCAGAGAAGCAGCAGCACAGCTGACACCCGGCCACTAGGGATGTCTACATTTTTACGTCACACCATTTGGACACAAACCAATACCCTAAGTGTGCCTGTCCTCTTAGCTTTATTGCACTTCAGAGCTAGAGGGCCTCAGGGACCATCTAGTCCAACCCCCTCATTTTTCAGATAAGAAACCTAAGGGCTGGAAAAATTAAGGGACTCACTGAATTTCATGGAGCTAGTTAAGGCAAAATTGGAATCCAGATTCACATCATCTGAGTCCCTGTCCAGGCTCCTTTCAATAAATTAGATAGAGAAAATACAACAATTCAATTTTCCCTTCAAAAATAAAACATTGCAGAACATTTTTTGGGGAAATGGATGTATTCATCTATATTAAAGCTTCACAGATATTAAATTGTACATCAAATATGTATAGTATACTCTATATCAATGCCTAAATAAAGCTAGAAAATGTAACACTGGGGGCATAATAATAACAGTAAGGAAATATAAAAGATCTTTAAATGCTATTAAGATATTAAAAAGTAGATTAAGATCCTGACGAGCCAATGGGATGCATATTTTTGTGAAGCTGTATTGACTTTCCAAATACTAGCCCTTCCTCAATCAACAATGTCACCCCCAGATACTGTACTGAAGAGTTAACATATCTAGCTTTATACTCAGCCTCACACAACTAAAGACTTTAGGGGAAATCATAAAAACCACTTCAAATGCTGCAGGACTCTACTCAACCAGGTACTTAGCTGAGTCTCCTTTAAGTTAAACACACGGATGTGCACTCATGCATGCTATGCAATGCTTTAAGTATTTCTCTCATAAAAGTGAGAACCAAGTAATAAGAGCTTTAGAATCTTAGTTCTGAAGGACAGAATAATACTGTAATTCAATTTTTCTTAATGGATGATTAATGCAGCAATGTTAACATTTTAAATGCCTTACAAACAAGCATGGTGAAGAACTGGAGACAACAAAGAGTACAGACTTTAGAGTCCATCTGATTTGGGCTGGGGTGGCCACCACTTCGTAGCTAATTGACTCAGGAAAGGCTCTTCAATCTCTCTGAACACTAGCTTTTTTATCTATACAATGTGGACAACAGCATTTCTCCTCCAGTGAATGGAACTAAATGCTGAGCACATAGTAGATTCTGAATAAAATCAGTCTTCCCTACCCATTTCCTCCTGGAGAATCCTGCACATGCCCAGACTGACATTAAGAATCTGAACCAGGCCTGGGAAAAAGATGTCCTAACATAGTAAGACTACTCAGCCATTTTTGTTGTCTATTGAACAGTTATTTAAAAATACTAATGGCCTACTTTCAGGATGAATTTTACAACTTGTGTCTTTTCATCAAACCTAGAAAATAAAATTAACAACAATCAGCGTTCCACCATCCTAACCCAACAACCATGATGATTTGGTTCTAGTCTTGTCCCACATACACCTGTTTTCAACATCACAAGAGGATCTTTTCCCATCTGCCATTTATGAAGCACTATTTTCCTGTCCTGCTTTTCCATAGAGTTTTCTCATTTATACTGACCCCCAAAGTTGAGGCAGTATAAAATTTAAAAAAAGTTGCCTTAAGAACTAGAGCCCACTATGGCACCAATCCCAAATTTCATCCTTTGAATGGAACGCCGCTGGATTTTTCTGCTGGGCAGCAAGAAGCGCCACAGACACCCAACAATTCTCAGGAAATGTAGAAACATCTGCATGAAAACAATGAGTCAGTCCTGTGACTCCTTCTCCTGGGTAACTGACAAGGGTCCCATCAGGTGGGCAGAACCTCCAGGTCCCAGACAGCAGGGCAGGGAGAGACCCTCCCCAGGAAAAGTGCTTCTCAGCTGTGATGGGAGCATTGAGACTGAGGACAGGAACACTGCTGACTCACAGGCAAGCACGGAGCTGCTGGCTGAGCTATCATTTCCTATAACTCATTCATCTGACACTGCAGAAAGCAATTTCTCCCCACAACACCCCAATCTAATCCTCCAAAAATAAAGTCCTTCCACTAACTGCTTCCTGTCCCAGTATAAAGCTTTATTAGAAAAAAAAAAAAAACCACCTATTTTCAGATTTGCCATAGAAGTTATAAATGGAAGAATTTAATATTATACTTGATTCAAAGGAAGGATAGACAGGGGAGGCAAAAATTTGGAAATACCTAAGAGAAATGTACCTGCAAGGAAGGGGACAGGTTTTCATGCAAAACGCTCTCACTTTATTTAAGGAAATGTTTCCCAATTCCAGGGCTCGGTGAAACAGACAAACCAGTGAAGCTGAATGAGGGTAAGCCAAGAGGCAGTAGGTTGGCAAAGAACATGGACTTTGGAGTGAAAAATCCAAGTTCCATCTTGCTTTTTCCATTTACTTCCTGGCTCTGGAAACTTGTTGAATTTTACTTAACCTCTTTAAGCCTCAGTTTGTTCAACAGTATAATAGGAATAATCATCTTCATCATTAAAAATAATTATTATCATCAGTTTACTTTAGAATTAAATGAGATAATCTATATAAAACATTTAACACAGAATATGGTTCACAGTAAATATTTAGCTAATGTCAGTGTGACTACTGTTGCTAAATCTTATTGGTAGAAAAGCCAAGAAGGAAAAGAAAGCAATGTTCAGAATTCTGTTTTGCATGACTATTTTCAAAAATGTCTGTGTATACATTTCACAATGATGTAGGGGTTTCCTAGAGGATAAGGCACAACCCCCTAGATGTAGATGGCTCCAAGTAGGAGGAGGGAACCACTTTTGTCATGCATAAGCTTACAGTAAAGAGCATATCTAAATGAGGTTAGTTCTTTTAGTCAGAGAGCAGGGGTATTACAATCTCCCATATACTACTGATGTTAAGACCTAAATGTAGTGAGAAGAGCTCTTAAAATGAATTCAGAGCTGCCAAGAGAGTTAGGATTTCAGCAGCAGCATCCTCATTAAGAGGAGGGAGGTGCAAGGAACTGAGCCCATACTCATCACTTGATTTTACAACATGGGATTTGCTAATTCTTAAGTGCTATAAAAATCAAAGTGCAGTTATAAGGAAAAGTCAAGCTTTTGGCAGGCTCAAATGTAGGACACACCAAGGAGTACTACTACTAAACATCCAAGTGGCCTTATTTGGAACTCTATAAAGCTCCACCTTAAAAGAGAGAAAAGGGGTGCTGGCGCTGTGGGTTAAAGCCCTGGTCTGCAGCGCCAACATCCCATATGGATGCTGGTTTGAGTCCCAGCTGCTCTACTTCTGATCTAGCTCTCTGCTATGGCCTGGGGAAGCAGTAGAAGATGGCTCAAGTCTTTGGGCCACTGCGCCCACATGGGAGGCCTGGAAAAGGCTCCTGGCTCCTGCCTTCAGATCGACGCAGCTCCGGCCACTGGGGCCAACTGGGGAGTGAACCAGTGGATGGAAGACCTCTCTCTCTCTCTCTCTCTCTCTCTCGGCCTCGGCCTTGGCCTCTCTATAACTCTGCCTTTCAAATAAATAAATGAATCTTAAAAAAAAAAAGAGGAAAAACATGAAATAAACAAACCCTTACAAAAACTCCAACAAGTCCCAGATTAGCTGGTTATAATCTCCCACTCTGTCTTACCAGAAAAGGTAAGGTGAAACCTCTCTAGAGCAAGATAACATCATCAGGAGACTACAATTTTTACATGCATTGCTCAACATTCAAACAGCAATTACTGGACATTCCAAGACTTACAGGAAAAACACAAAGAACTAGGACCATAGCTAACCAAGATATTAGTTATGAGATATGTGAAGGTACTTCAAAAAGCTCATCGATAAATGGAACTCTAAGATACCTTTATTTTGGTGCAAAAGAATTTTGAAATCCATGCATAGATTTTCATAATGTGTATCATCATAAATGTTTTGAAGACCTCTTGTATGTATGGGTTTCAAAATTTTTGCACCAAAATAAATTTATATTTGGATGACATTTCCCATGAACTTTCCTAAATACCCTCATATGCTTTAAAATAACTATGCTTATTTTGTCCAAGAAAAAGAGATGGTAAGATGAAGGATTTTACCAGAAATTGGAATCTATAAAAAATAATGAAATGAACATTACGCAACAAAAAAGCATAATAAATAAAACTTCATAATAGGTTTTCTTAGGAAAATATTTGTCATAGCTGAAGAAATGACTAGTGAAGTGAACATTGTTTAAAAAATGTCCCCAGAATCATGGAGAGAAAAGATTGGAAAAAGCAGAGAAACAGTAGGAGACACATATGATCTTGATGAAAGATGTGACGTATTACAGTTCCTGAAAGTAAAGAGACAAAAATGAACAAAAGTGATATTTGACAAGATAAAGG